TCTCCTTGCAAAGAGAAATACGCTCGTCTAGAGATCCGCAAAAAATTCTTAGCGGAATCTAGTCCAAATCTCATCCAAAGTTTATGTTTTTAATGTTCCCGTTTCCAACAATAATCATATGAGTTTAATATTAGAGTTACTTTATTTACATCACACGAGTTTAATTATTATATTTTCCAAAGAAAAACACAAGTTTATTAGTTGGATAATATTGCAGTGTGAATACCGTTCAAAAAATATATTGCAGTGTGAATACCATAAAGTGAACGCAGTTAAATGGAAGGAAATAAAACTTAAAATAACCATTCTTTCTTTCTTTTTTTTCTTTTTTTCTTTTTTTCCCTTCTTAAGTAAGGTGAATCCATTTTTAAAAGCCCAAATTAAAAAAACATCCTTACCTTGTAATGCCAATATGCCTTTGGGTTGGGTCGTTAAGACTCTGGGTTGGGCTTCGGCATATCATCTGACATATTTATTATGTCCTCTCAAGGCCCTTTTGATTAGGTTTTACATTATGTCTTTTTACTCAGTTGATGGGCATTTTAGTAAACTCAACAAACTTTTTTGGACAAAAATGACTGAATTTTGTACTGATGGAGGTCTTTGCAAAAACGGGTCAAATCTCAGGGGTCATGTTGCAAAAAAATACAAACTTCAGGTTTAAATTTGCAATTAAATTAAATTTAAGGAGATATCATTGTAGTTTATTCTTTTTATTTTTTCCTATCTTTTCTCTGCAGTATCAAAACCTTGACATAGAGTTTGAAAGCTAAGACCCCCAAATTCGCAATAGACCAGTCTCGAAACTCTCAAGGCCAATTTGATTAGGTTTGTATATGTTGTTAGAGATTTTTTATTTTTTATTTTTTATTTTTTATTATTTACAAGAAACACACCATTCACACATATTATTATTTGGTTATGGAATGGGCTTAACAATAAAAAGAAACTCACATGCGACACCACATCACATGTGAAAGATAATGCAAAGAAATCCAATGAAGAAAAAATTAGCAGTATTGAGAGAGACCCAATAGCCATTATTATTATTATTATTATTATTATTATTATTATTATTTTATTTTTTTATTTTTTCATTTTTTATCATTGCAAAGGTATGAAGGTCAAGTTATTAGTGGCGAGACAAAAACCAAACAAAAAGACATACAAATTTTGAAGCAATGCAAGAAAAAATGTTAAATAAGTTTCAGATTTTGCGAAGGTCTGAACTCCCGGTTTGTTGTGTATAATTGCCCATTTTATATTCAATGCTTGAAGACTATTCTTATTTGTAAGTATTTGATAATCGTATTTTAAGTTTTGCAATTTACGTTTATTTTAAAGATTTTATTTAAATACATGCTAAGAAGTGATTAAGGAGTATGCTGTAAGCTAATTAAAAGTTTCCAGGAAAAAGAAAATATTTTATTGTGATGCACAATGCTTATTAGATAAATTGTGCAAAATATTAAAGTTCTAGCAGATGCCAAAACAAGAATTAAAATGCTTGACTCCAACAAAATTGTGAAAGGAGTTGACATACCAATACACCACAAGTTAGATGGTAGTAAAAAGTGATTGAATTGATAAAATATTATATTTTTTTTTAATAAAAATGATCAAATATTAAAAGAATTAATTAAGAATTAATTGCTAGTAGTAAATGTTTTAAATTAGCATTAGTTAAAAAAAAAAAAAAGAAAAAAAAAAAAAGAAAAAAAGTAAGCACCCGCATGATCATGATGCTACATGTTATGAGGGGAGTCTTATTCAATGTATATCGAATTCGGATAGGAAGTAAAATAGATATATATGAGTTGAGTGTTAGTTTCAATTAATAATTTAAATTTTTGAGTTGAATTGCGAAACACTTACCCGTTAAAATTGATATCAAAATTAATAACTAATAGCTTAAGTCCACTTACACCCAAACAAAGAGAAAATGGCATGAAAGAGAGAAATTTCAATTCGAGGGCCATATATCATGCTTTTGGAAAGAAGGTAAATAATTTTTATATATTATTAGGATGTACTCTATTATCTGGAGCAGTTGCAAAGGCCGAATAGAAACTTGCTTTTATGTATACTAGAGTAATAGATGATCAAGGACGGCAAGAGAAGAAAGAATTCTTGGCAATTGCAACACCAACAACCTTCATCTGAAAAGCAAGAAAAGTCCAATTAGGTGATGTGAGAGTAGATTTCAAGTTCTATTATTTGAACTTGGAGGTTGCTCGCAATAGGTGAGTATGACGGAATAGCGAAGAGCGACAATAAGAAAGAAGGTGTTTGGTTCAAGGTGAAGGTATGGAGGAGCGTGTGAAGAAGAAATTTGAGCTAAGTTGGAGATTGTTCAAGTGTGCATCAAATTCAACGTTCCTAAATTCAACATAATTTAGTATCCTTTTCTGTTTGGTACTTTTCAAAAGGTTTGGACTTGTGGAGGAAATCATTTCTCACTAGGTTGCTTTTCATTTTAGAGCTAGTGATTAATATCCTAACTTCTTGTTATGCAAGTTGTGGAATTCTTATCTTACAAGAAACTGTAATTGAATACTCTATAAATAAAGTTAAGATTGAGAAAATATTGTATAAGAAGAAAAGTGTTTAGAGTTGGAGAAAGAAAATTGTACAAGTAAAAGATTGTGGTATATAATTTTGAACCACGTAAATCTCATCTTATTTGTGCATATGAGCTTTTTTTTTGCTCTTATTTACTTAATGGGTCATGTATCCTTTACTTTTTTTCCCAAAAGCTGTTATAAAATTACTGCAATGGGTTACTTTTAGACAACGATCTTAAAGACATTTATTTATAAATAAATAAAATATATTGAATTTTTCATTCAGTCCAGCAATTATGGAAAACATTCAATTTAGACGATCTGAGTCTGCCATTCTGCCTTGCCTTTCCTCGATTTTGCATCCAGAAATTGGTTTTTTTATTCTATAGAAATAACATGGACGTGTGGGTTTCTTCCCAAGATTAAAAAAAATAAAATAAAATAATGTTAACATATGCATTTTGTCATTCCTCATGAAATACTGTCTACCTAGCCAATTGAGTATTAATATACCGACCCTTGGAAATTTAGCTTGCAATATATATATATATATATATGTTGCAATTCCTTTTCATAATCATGCTTTATATATCAGAATTTATCTTTAACTTAAAGTAGGTCAGTGTCATAAAAATATGTTAATTTTTGGTTATGATTCTATCGTACATGTTTTTTCCCATTATGTGTAAAATTTGATATTTATATGTATAGACAGATGTTCATGTCCTCCTTTTATATATTCTGAAATAAAATTTCCTAGCTTGCTGAAAAATGTGTAGATAAATGTGGTTTAATTGATATAAAGGAGGCAGATTTTGAAATTTATAGCAACCTGACGGTACATTTACTTCCCCCAACCATTATCAGTGCTACATTATACAGCATCTGCAACAACTTCTGTCGAGTCCAAGCAAGCTGTCATGACTCTGAACAATCCTTAGTTAAGAAATCCCTACCATCTCTCTCTCTCTCTCTCTATATATATATATATATTCACACACACACACGCACACACACACACACACACATATATATATACACATTCATGGATAAACATTTCAATGTCTCTTCATCAATGCCACAACTACTTAAACGGAGCCTTATGTGTGATGCAATAATGGGTACCTAATATACTTTTATGAAATGTTAAATAAAAAAATACTACTATTAAATAACAGTAAATTAATATGGTAGAACCATTGTTGTTTCATTTACTTGATTTTGCTTCACTGCATGTGAGCTGGCTGCTTGTAATTCAATCATAAAATTTGACCAGCATGGATTTACTAAAGTGGTTGAAGTTGAATCACATTAAAGAATATATATATATATATATATATATATCATACAAATACACTATATGTTTTTGAGATCCATCTTCACCTACTTAAGGATATAAGTAGAAGCAATATATTTTTGAAACTTAAAAAAGCAAAAGAATTCAAAAAAAAAAAAAAAAAAGTTAATTTCAAATACAAAGAACAAAGAATAATGAGATTAATTTATTGTTCTTTATTTTCACTTATTATTATTTTTTATTTTCATATACAAAGAATAATGAGATTAAGCCCTGTTTTGCATGCTATGTGTTTTAGTCGTCATTTTTTTTTTTTTTGTCAATATCAAAACAATCGTTTTATTATAGGAGTGTTTTGGATAGAAATCGGAACCATATTTGGTAATGAAAATTTATTTTGAGAAATTCACAAATTTGTTTTAATTCCTATACCAAAATAAACAATATCACCAATAATTTAGTGATATGAGTTTTAGCCAAAAAAATCTGATATGTTAAATCTGATATGTTATAAACTATTTCAAACTAATATCAATGGTTCCAAATATAATATGGGCCCGAATTTAAATATTAATATTAATATTAAAAAAACAATATCATAAAATTTTTCAGACATACCCTTACTCAGTAAAATATAAAATAGACGGTCATAATTGTCACATTCTGTAACAAAAATCGATCTTATCTTCCCTTTTATATAATTGGCCCAGGTTCGATTCCCCATCCTATATATGTCAGTTGCTTTAACCAAAAAAATATAAAAGAAGGGGTCAAATTTATCTTCTTGCTATAACAAAGTGTGAATACTACATATAAATATTTTTTCTTCAAAAATTCATATATAAAAATATACTATTGGCTCGAGTGGAGGGTACACTTTATGTCTAGGCACATGCATGTAATGTGCTGGTTTCTCTGGAGTTTCAACTGTGCCCCTCTGGGTCTGAGCAGTGACATGAAGACTCTGTATGTATCTCCACCAAATTAGCCCAAGACTTTCATCAAATTGACCACATGACTGAGGTTAGCTTCCATATTTGTTACCACATGGGGAGCAAAGTCATAAAACCACATTTAACTCCATTTATTACTCTCAACCGTTCCCCACCGCCCTCATTTCATCTTTAAAAGGAGATTCACATCACTCATCTTAGTTACCAAGTGAGAGAAAAAACAGTGTATTCCAGAGAGAGAAACAGTGTATTCTAGAGAGAGAGAGATGGCAAAGTGGTACTGTATCATGGTGGTTCTTGCTTTAGTAGTGGTACACACCACTGCTAGAGATGTGCCGGTGGCCACTAACAACAACAAGGGTCTGGATGACCAGAAGAACTTTGTCAACTTTGGTGGACTTGGTGGCTACTCCGGCATTGGCAGCAATGGACTGCCTATTGGTGGAGTTGGCGGTGGAATCGGTAGCGTTGGTAATATTGGAGGTCTTGGTGGAGGCGCCGGCATCGGTGGTGTAACTGGGATAGGTGGGCTCGGTGGCTTGGGCGGCGGCGTTGGCGGCGCCGTAGGTGGTGGTGTTGGTACTGGTACTGGTGGCAGTGGTGTTCTTCCATTTCCTTGAAGTTGAAGTTGAAGTTGTTAGTTACTATGGTTGGTGCATGTCTTCAGTTACTTTAATTAGGACTCAACTGTTCCTAGTGTTTGGCTGTTAAGCTAGTTTTATTTGTGAGAGGTTGTGCACTGTTAGTTGACTTGTGTTTTTTTCCCTTGAAAATGTGCTTCTGGTTTTGTATGTCATTCTGATTAGCGCACCAATATAATAGATATATAAAGCTATTTTATTGGGTTCAATATATTTATGTACCTTTTTTTTTTTTTTTCTCTCTCTCTTTCTTGTGCCATATGACAAAGGTGGTTCATGGACTGGAAAGTCCTCTCATTTAGATTCATGCATTATTTTTTGTTCACTTTATTAATTTATATTTTCAAACTACTAAATGGTCAGATAATTTATCATTTTCCTTTCCATGTTAAACCAGATTTCAAAATGGTAACAAAGACAAAATAAAAATTGCAAGTTCAAGCTAGATTAAAAATAATGCATGATTTGAACTTTAAACTGTTATGATATCATGAGAGACATGAGTTCATAGAATTAATATTATGTCTATGTCTAGGAGTAATACTACAATGTGGGATTCATTTTTGTTAGGGACTTCAATAAAGTCCGACAAAAACTCTTTGTCAATAATAAATAAAATAATTAAAATATTTCAATTAATGTTTGACACATCAACAACGACAACAAAAATCAATAGCAGTTCATCTTTTCCCTATACTCATGTCCAAACATAGTGATATTGGAGTAGGGTCGGGCCTCCTTTTAAATTGCTGCAAGACATGTTGTCCCAGTTAATTGAGGTACTAGAGGAGAGTCCAATCAATTTTACCTCTCAAATTAATATTTTCCATTCTTCATAGGGAAAATACTTTTCCCTTCTCATGAATTATGCTTCTTGGACTGAATTTTTCTTAAAAAATACTATTATACAAAAGGAACCATGTATACCATCCGCCTTTTCCATACTTAGCTATTGTCACCTCCCTTTTAATGAATTGGAGTACTTAGCTATTGTCACGTTCCTTTTAATGAATTGGAGTCCCATCATAAATGTCAAATGGCTCAAAACCGCTCATTGCTTATGTATGTTTGGTAGCCTTATTGAAGTTTTGAAATTAGAATTGAATTTCTGATTTTAAATCCATTGTTTGGATATTACAAATTGATTTGGGATTGAGATTGCATTGTAATCTCAAACATTCCAAATCGACAATTTGAATTCATAATTCAACCAAAGATTTTCAACACTAAAACAAAATTAACACAACACCCCTTTCTCTCCCACCATGCTCACTCGACCACAGCACTAATGCAATTAATATCAAAACGGGATAAAAGAAAAATCCAACTGTAACATAATATAGTGGCTCGTTCTCGTTTTTTTCTGATTTTATTATTAAATGAATTAACATTTAGTTCAATCTTATTCAAATTTGTCTTATATATTGTATATGTGTCCATATAATTATATTGCAATGTAATAGCACAGGACCAAGGCACATGATCGAGCATTCGATTTCGTATCAAAATTATAAGAAAAACGCAATAAGCGATACAAAATTTTTAAAATATCATGAACCTTTGTTTTATATCATGAATTCGTGATTATATAGTAGGTAACATGATACGTATATAGATTTTATTTATGGTATATATTAAGAAACTCTTCAGCACTTGAATTTGCACATGCAAGCACGGGTGAAGAAGTCCACTTGGTGGCATGATCCTTTCAAAGCCTTGTCCTGCTTCTTGCAGTGCTTCTCACAGTTGGACGAAACCAAACACACTCCGGTCCATGTGTTGCTCTTGCGCTCACATGTTTTCTTCTTCGCGTGAGCTTTGTCCGCAGCTACGAATTCTGCATCACACCACCACAAAACATTAACAAATTATAAGAGACTAATGTGCTAATGTGGAAATCAACTGAGAGTCCAGAACAACCGGTTGTGGTGGATCTCACAATATCAATCCGGACCGAGTTAGAAAATTAATTATATGAGTAGAGACGGCCTTTAACAACAATGTGGTGGATTCCACAACACCGATCGGGGATTGAGTTAGAAAATTATGTTAGGGGTCAGGGGTGGGGGTTTTTGTAATTTCAATTGGGTCTTATGTTAAAAAAATATATATATTAAATTTATATTTATATATATATATATATATATATATATATATATATATATATATATAGGTCTATGTGTTGGCCGTTGGACCGATCCTCTCACGTCAATTTTGGTTATAATTTAAAGAAAAATTATATTCTTGTCGACTCCCGACATTGCCAATCCTTGAAGCCCTTTTGTTGGGCTCACATGATTAGTGAGCCTCTCCCAATGGCAATGTCGAGAGTCGGTTATCGTAGAATGGTTGAAATGTATAATAACACACATGCATAATGATGATGATGTAAAATGACAAGCTACTAACCAGTGTTGATGAGGAGGAAACCGATGAGAAAGACCAGAAGCAACTTAGATGTATTTCCGGCCATTTCTCACTTTTATTCTTTTTTCGGGAAGTTCTCACTTTTACTCTGAAGAATAAGGTAAGCATATAGGGGTATTTATAGGGCTGCATACAATACATAATATAGGGCGTATTAAAATGCAGCAAATTTCGGGAATTTGAATGGACAATATCGCATGTGGTTGTTAGACCAATTAGTGGGTCTAAATTTCCATAAAATAAAACAAAAATAAAGGAAAATTGAGGTTTGAATTGGCAAATTAAACATCCTTTTTTTAGTGAAAATTTCACAAGCACAAAAATATAGAACAATGCTTGGGACTTAAGTTGGATGAACTTCGTCTAATTTACTGTGGCCCAATAGATCTAAAACAGTATTCAAAAACAAAAGTTATGATTTAAAATACATATTCAAAAATAAAAGTTAAGTAATGTCCAATTTAATTTTATATCTAATTTTAATACTCGTCACAATTTTATTGGATCATATTGACAGGTTTGATAAAATTCACCCAACTTAAATTGGACCAAAACATTGTTAAAAAATATAACCATCCATCTCTAATCCAAAAAAGTGGCCTCTTGTTTGATCCCCCGTTAATAATATATATGAATGTGATAAGCCCTAGTTATCTTAGAAAATAGTAGTGTGACATTTAAAGGAATAGATTGTCTTACAAGGGTATTTTTATTTATTTTTTTATTTTAAAAGAAATAAAATAAGTCTTTCATTTATCAGAATCATTCTAACTGATCTAGAAGCTCGACTATAAGTATGGGACAATGATAAGAATGTTTGTGCTATGGTACACATCAATCAGAAAATCTAAAATGAAGCCAATTAAATGTGATTTTCTCTTTCTATTTTGGAATTTAAAATAAATTTTCACTTTAACATATCATATCATCTCTTGGGACCATCAAGGGCATGTGGTTTAGTGTCTACCATCCAAAGTAAATGATGAAGGTTATATCTTCAACTATGAGTGGTGTGTGTGTTTTTGGCCAATAAAAAAAATAATAATTAAATGTTTTGACACTCCAGAGGTTTGCTCTTAATTATTACTCTTAGATTAAATCAGTGAAAAAAAAAAGAAACTTAAATCACTGCTCAAGCTTAGTTGACTTTGCCCTGAATCCTGAAGATCAACCATGTCAAAAATCAGCTAAAAAAAAACACTGTTAAAACGACCTTCGATTACCTTTAATTAATTAAACCTCTATACCCCTCATATGTTATTACTTGAATATCGAATTTTCCATTATATGTGTTGGGATTTATATGCCCTGGCATAGCAAATTCCTATCTGGATTGTGTTGACATATGTTCCTGACATATCTGAAATATTTATGATTTATATAATTGGTGAATTCAATGTATTATGTTTCAATTCACTATGAAATTGATAGTGTCCAGTTAATTACAAGAAATATTTATATATATGTATGTGATGACAATCAATGCATGATATATAAATAGTAATTATAAATTGTTCATAGCCGGTAATTATGGATGGACTCATAATTAATTAAGACTTGAACTGGATCCGCGTTAGGTTGAGATATATTGCGAGAGCCGTCGTATGCAATTACTCCCTATCACCGTCATGGCATTTGACTCTTAAGCATGAGAAAAGTATAGACTCTTTTATTAATTAATAATTACTTTGATTTGTTCGGCGGATTCTTCGGGATCCTTAGACCGACACTTTGGGTAGTTATGTAATTAATAGTTAGAGGGTTATATTTTCAATATTTGCATCATTGCTACTTGTATTTATTTTGTATTGATTATGGTTGATCACAAAGTAAATTCGAAGGCCTTCGTGTGTTTTTAGACAAAATGATTTATTATATATTTATTTATTTAAATTATTATTTTTGTCAAACAAATGTTTTATTGTGATCGAGCCAGAAATAATCAAAGGTACCAAAATAAATATATTAATTAAGTAGTCGGATTGATGGCTATATTTATCCGATAACTAATTATGCATAGAGGGGTCAAAGTGCAATATTGACTTAGAGGTTATTTATTATTTAATTGGAGTTCAATTAATTTCTTTTAGTGGAGTAGAAATTAATTTATGAATTAATTGAATTGGGTCCATGGACCGGGCCAATTATTAATTCATTGTAGCCAATAAAATAATAGGCCCAATGGATTCTCACTCATAGCCCAACTTGATATTGGAATCATATTAGATTTGAGACATATGAATTAGAGATGGAGAAGGATTTGTTGTTTCCTTTTCTTTATTTTTATGTTGCCTATAAATATACATGGTCTATGTATATTTTAGGGTGTGATTTTTATGAGAAGGAAAAAGGAATAAATTTTCTCTCTCTAGAAAATTAGGGTTTATGTTCTCATCTAATGGAGGCTCCCACAAGCCTAATTTTCCAAGGTCATTCATGGAGGCATATGAGTGATTCCTAAAGGCAAAACAATTACCAAGAAGATGGAGATCCAAGGAGAATGCATCTAGCAAAAGGGATCTACAATAAGTGAGAACATTCACTTTAGAGGAGAGATCTGAGGTTTACTCAAACCTTGATGTAAGTATTCAATCTTTTAGTTGAATAATACATCATATTTTATTTTATTTTTTGCATAAAACTTGTATCTATGTGATGAATCAAGATCTATGAATTTAAATCCCTCGAAAAGTTTTTAAAACTAGCACGTTTCCCAACAGTGGTATCAGAGTATGGTTTGATTCATTACTAGAGATCATGATTTTATGAAAATCATCATTCATGGATCCAAAATTATATTCATATATATTTTTATTGATGTATGTTGATGTATGATTTAATATGTTGATATATATTGATACATAATGATGTATGAATAATTGTGAATGAATGATGATGTATGGTTGGGCCATGGATGAAGCTTATAGGTTAAATTAATGTAATTTTATCTTTGGATGAATGTAATTAAGGCTTTGATTTAGCCGTTTGAAAGTTCAATGATGTAATTTAATTTTTTCCATTATATTTCAAATTATAAATATTTTTAAAGCCATGTAATCTTCGTCAAAGGATGCTATGAAGCTTCAAGAAGGTCCAAAAGGATTAAATTATGCTTCAGTAATTTTCTGGAATTTTTCCGAATTTTTTGGAATTTTTCTGGAATTTTTTGAGGCTTAATTTAATTTTCTGGCATTTTTTCGGATTTTTTGGAATTTTTTCGGCGTTTTTCCGGTGGCCGGAGCTTCGCCGGCGGCGAGAAGGGGCGTCGGAGGTGGCCCGGATCAGGTGTGGCGTCAAGGAGGTGAGCCTGGCGCGTGTTCCACACGCGCTAGGAGAGTGCACATGCTGGCGCGTGCAAGGGAGCTTGACCTCCACGCGCGTGAAGGCGCGTGGAGGCGCGTCCCACGCGCCCCAGGCGCGTGGGAGCGCGTGAGTGTGCATTCCACGCGCCCCAGGCGCGTGCCGGCGCGTGGGAGCACGTGCAGCTTGCCCTAGGCGCGTGCCAGCGCGTGTGAGGTCCTCCGGGCTCGTTTCAAGCGGCGTTTTGCTTCTCCTGACGCGTACAAGCTTCCTATGGGTGTTTACAGACAGTTGAAGGATGCCCGTACAGCAAGAATAGTTTTTAAATGTTAAAAGCTGAATCCATTGGCCATTTAATTTGCTTTATCTGTCATTTATTGTTGTATGTGATGCATGAAATAATTAATTGCTAATTATTATTGTTCATGCATTGGATCCATGATATTTATTTAAATGGCTTGATTTATATTAATTAAATTATGAAAATTAATTGGATTAGATTACTAATTAATTTGAGGGCACTTATTGGGAAACGAAAAATTGTTTTTGTAAATTATTTTTAAAGTGTGCTTCAAATTAAATATTAGTGAATCGTTTAAAGTCCAAATATTTTCTAAATTTAATTGGATTAAAATCAAGACGTTTTGCATGCATTATATCATGTAAATGAATAAAATGAAAACCCTAATTATGAATGATTAAAAATTGAGTGGGAGCGGGGATTTTTATACATTGCCCCATGGCCTTCGTTATTAAAACCATTGTAATTAGATCTTCAAAAATAAGGCCCCACGCATGATTTGAAGAGTCTTAATATTACAAGAATGGTTGTCTCATGAAAATAAAAATATTAAATGTTCATTGTAATTAGATCTTTAAAAATAAAGCCCTACGCGTGATTTAAAGAGTCTAGATTATAATGACAACATATTTAATGTTTTATTTTTCATTAGAGCATTAATAATGTTATACACTCAATCTAAAATCAATAGTGTTAGCTCCCCAACGGAGTGATCTACACTAGGTGATTTTAGAAAGGCTAAACATAATCGGGAGTCATTTCATATAGATAGACAAGGCATTGTCTTAAGAGATATGGAGATGATGGGATTTGCCCGCCAATAGCAATAATGAACTTCGCCAACCGAATAAGTTATTGGTGTATTGGTTATCCGATTTTTCATGCAGTGGTTAAGGGACCCACATACTATTTTAATGGAAGTGCTCACCTAATAGTAAATGAATCTCAACAATAGTAATAATGAACTCCTCCAACAGGATAAGTTATTGACATATTGATTGGTTGATTTATTATACTACAGAGTTGAGGGACCCGCATTAATTAAAAGGGATTGTTCACCAATAATGATAATGATCTCTTGTTCGATTGAGATTTATTATATTATGTGGTTAACAAACTCATTTTAATTTTAAATATGCATGACAGAATTAATAATTCACCTTGCATATTGTATGAATGCATTTATATTCAGATTAATTATGTCTAATCCAGTTTATCTACTTGCTTACATATTCTATGATATTGGACCTTATTTATAATAACTGGAAAATGAACTTAGATATTTTATTCACAACGTAAGGGTACAAAATGTGTTTATTACTCCTATACCTATCTCTTTTACTTTGAGATACCAAATTTGACATTAATGCTTTTAATAAATTAGATAAGGCAAATGATATGACTTGGTGCAATATTCTAGAGTTTAGCTCGAATATACTCCAAAGCTAACATTTGTATTATTTTATTTTCTTCAAGCATCATATTAAAT